TTCTCTAAAGAAGTTGGGATACATCTTTTTCCTCTGGTTTACCTATCTTGTTTTCAATCAAGCAACCCAAAGTTTCAGAAAACAATCTCTATGGAACAAGTTCTTCAATCTTCTTTTAATCTGTTGCTTTCAATATATATTACCAAATCTCTCTTTGACCTACCATTATGTGACTCTTAGGGAGCAACTTTTTTGTTCTGATCTCACTAAAAGGAAAAAAAGAAAAGCTAATCTTTCTGACGATTTACTTCACATAACATACCAGCAATTTAACATCTTGGTGCTTAGATGTCAAATGCTTTTGCATTTTAGCGTCCAACAAACGAAGATCGTCAATCGAAAGATTAAATTGGGGTTTGGTTAATGGACAAAAGGGTTCGAGTGATATAAAGATATTTGAACCCCAAGTTCAAATGAATCCATTAAATGGCAGATGTTTTGTTGGCAGATCTCCGAGATCCTTTGGACGACAAGCGAAATCCTCAAATGAAAACGACGTTATTTTATCGAATTAGAGATTCGATTTCAAGTTTTCTCTAAATGAAATCGATATCGTTTTACTAAAATAATGAAACGGCGTCGTTTTGAGCCAACGAAACCGAGTTAGCTAACCCACGTGGCGTTTTGGTTAATAATCCGTTAATGTTGACTAACGGAATCTTGGTCAAGGTATAATTCGGCACAAAACATGTTAGTTCAGATATAAGATTTGAATTTATTTAGAGTTCAGGTTTATATTAGCCATAGAAAAAAGTTCATATCTAAAATGGCACGACGCAAATTGGTTGGGTCCAAATTGGCCGTTTTCCTAGTGTTGTCCACCCGAAAATTGTTTGAATGTTTGTTTTGCATTCGCTTCACTTACTTTATACTCTCTCTTTTTATGTTATTTTCGAACACATTCATTTGTTCCAAGACTATGAAAATCTCTCCCGAACACGAATTCTTTAATTTTTCCTTTTAGACTTTCTATGAAATTTAATCAAGTAAATTTAGTTTCTCTATAAAATGTTTCCAATGTAATGCTAAGTTTAACAATGGATTCATGATAAAATTTGTGCCAAAACTTGAAGCCAAATTTTTATATAGAATATCTATTACTAAATTTTCGTAAAATTTGCGACATAATATTACCAAATCTCACGACTAAACTAC